TATGCATGAACTTGAACTTCTCTACCCATATCCATGGCTTTGAAAATGACACATTATGCAGTTATTATATCAGACTTCACAAATTTGAACCAGAGTCTAAAGAATATTGTTTATGCATTTCATTGCACTTGGCTATTTGACCCAAGATTCAGTTGGTTTAGTGATATTAGATAATCAGATTTCTTTGCTATACAGGACCACATCAATGGGCCAAGTACAGAAATTCTTCATAGCTAGCTCAACAACGGCACCATTAGCTTTCGAGGTAGGTTTCTCTATATATATGTGTGTGTATATATCATGTCTCTATGTTTGTGTGTATCACCCAAATCCTTGTAATATTGAAGAATGTTCTGTTTCTTTCTTGCTTTGATTTTTTCTATTGCAGACAGACATCCATAGAAGTAATGTGAAAAGTAGGAAAGTGCGAAGGCTTATTTAGCTTGGTATAAGAAGGATGCTAGCTTTCTACTTGATTAACATTAAAAGTTCATATTAGTTGAATTCTGTTTGATTAATTTAGAAACTATGCAATGGCAAAGGTTGAATTGTTCCTTGAAGTGAGAATTATTTTGTTTCATTGAATATGATTAATTATGGCTTACTTTTGCCTCCTAGTGCTATGTATGAATGTATTAATGATTCTGACTCTTCAAGTCTTTATCAAAATGGTCATTAGGCAGTGTAATCCCCGTTAATTGTTCGGAGGGACAGATTGAATATAAAGATTTTAAATATTATTTACACAAGGTAATTACTTTAATGATTCAAATCTCCATTTTCATGCTTGATAGTAAAGCATTTAAAATGTGTTGAAAACTCGAAACACTTTTCTTAAATTCATAATATTTTGCTGCAATGGTCCATAAATTGGGAGATATGGGCAAATAAAACAGAGACAAATAATTATCAATTAAGGGAATTTAAGTCGCAAGATATAAGTCAGGCTGGTTGAATTTATGTTTTTGTAGTAATTTGGAGGATTTAAATTTGAAAGTCACAGAGATAAACGTGTTAAAATTTTAACAAATATATATTATTTTATTACTTTTAGTATCTCAATGGAGAATTTTGAAAAAATATTTGTTTTTTCCTAATCACTATTTTATACCTAAAAATTTCAAAAGTAATTATCGAATCCAAACACATATTTGAGATCTAATCTGATTCCTTATTATACTAACTTACAAAATATTTCCCATCACTATTTTAACAAAACCAAATTTATTCCCCTAACACCAATTTTAAAAGCAATCTACACACACACATATATATATATGTGTGTCTATATATATGTCTGTAGATGCTTGTTGGGGTTGTGTGCAATTTCATTTTAGATAATGCTAGAGTCCTGTCTTATACGACAGATTGTGTCCTGCAGATTAGGTGGCGAAATAAAATTTTGACGCTTGTCTCAAAAAGTAAAAAATGAATTAAACCATTTTAAATGGGTTAACCCGGTCTCAATCTCTCTGCCCATTTGAGTTATTATTACATTTCCAAAATCAAGAAACCCATTTCAACCACAGTTCTCCACATCTCTGGGATCCTCCATCACCCTTTCAACTCTCTTCCTCTGCCACTCATCACTGCAACACCCACCAAACCATCTCACAAAAGCAATCAAACAATTAATCAACTCACAACGGAAATACACCACAATGCGTCTCTTCACTCCATGATCACCACCAAACAATCATTACGATGCTCTCTAGCTCCTACTCCTACTCCTCTCTTTCTCTCTCTACGCCTCCGTCCCCTCTCTCTACTTCTTATCTCCTTTGTCTCCGTCCTCTTGTCGCCGTCGAATCGTCCCCAAAGGAGACGATATCGCTCAATGGCTGCGATTCCAAGCATTGGCTTGTTACGGAGAAGATGGTAGTGAGAGAGAGAGAACTGATCTCTCAACTCGTGGCTGTGTAGATTTTTGGAAGTTTTCTTTACTGAGGGGGTGGTGGAGTGAGGGTGGTGCTGGGTTGGTGGTGGCGGTGGAGATTCAGGAGTGCTGGCGGTTAGGGATTTGGAATGGAGATTTCAGAGAAGGGGATTTCGTTCATATGGATCTACGCCAATACACTTCTTAAATGGGTCTAATTTATTTTTATAATTTTAAATATTATATTGTTTCTCCTCACACATGTCAAATTTTCATTCAACCACATTACTTGGAGGACACAAAATGTCCATTCATTTTTACGTTGTATTATTTATTGGAAGTATAAAAAATATGGGATTTATTTTTCCTTGAATATTGTTTATCATCTTAATTTTCTCTTACTAATCTTTAATTTAACATTAATGATTTTTTCAACTTTTGGTTCTTTGTGATTCTCTTTGTAGGGGCTGCAACAGTAGTATTACAGCTTGGAACTTCAACCACTTGACTGAACTTCATAACAATTGCAACGATAAATAAGGTTAAGATTATTATTATTATTATTATTTTTTTTTGTGACATTTACTATGTGAAAATAAGTAATTTAATTGAAGAATCTTCTTTTGAGTAATTATGAAATAATTATTTAAAATTACGTTCACAAATTTGTGTTTGCTAACTGTTATCTTATTTCTAACCATATTTAAGGTACAGATAAATCAATTTATAAATTGCTCCCTAAATATAAAATTAAAATTTTCTTAGATGTTCTATCGATATCATACCTCACAACCTATGCCAAGAACTGTCCTTAACATATATACCTTTAACACGTATCGTATTTTTAGTAAATATTTCATATTGGGGGGGTTTGGAAAGACAGATTGAATACAAAGATTTTTCATATTATTTGCACAGGGTGATTATTTTAAAAATTCAAACCTGCATTTTCATGCATTTAAAAGGTGTTGAAGACCCGAAATACTTTTCTTAAACTCGTAAAATTCAATAGTCCATAAATTGGGGAGGTGAGGACAAATAATATAATCCAGAAGGAAGTCATCCACTGTTTTACCGGATTTGAATTGTCATAAACGGTTATCACTTGCTTTGAGGCTTAGGCCTCTGTTGCCTTTGGGCTCTCTCTTCTTTCCTACTTTTGTAATTATGGGCCTGTGAGGTCTCAACTAACAGGCCCAATACTTTACATTATCATTTATACAATACTTAGCTGAATAATTGAAAAAAATAAAAATAATTCTGATACTATCTTTCAACTCTCTTTACTTTTACTCTTTATTTATGTTTACGTTGGCCTGGTTAAAATCTATTTTATCTCATTAAATTGGACTACACTTAAAAAAAGATAAGCAAAAGTGAAAACTACACTTATTCACACCTTTTATAATTGAGATATTTTGATAACCTGTTCTGCAATTGTGCAACTCTAATATTACACATAAAAAGCATAGTAAAAACTTGGAGTTCTGTTCCGTTTTATATTTTGAGTTTAAAAGTAATTTTCTAACAACTAATTTAAATGAAAATCTTTAGTTTCATATTACAATCCCTTTTAAAACTATCTAATAATTTATCTTTTTATTTTATTTTTAAAAAATAAACTAAAGAATACTATAAATACATGTAGGAAAACTAACATCTCTTTTCTAAAGAGAGAGTGAGTTCAAGCGAGGCATAGAACACTTGGGGGAGCGTGTGTGTAAATATTTATCTAATTTTTTTGAAAAACACACCAGATGAACTTTTTCAAAGAATTGAAAGCATCCAAGGTGCAAAAGCTTTAAGGGGTATTGACACATATGTACACAAATGTGGTTTCCCACGTATAGATAATTGTACATACAATCAAGTTTTAAACTTTTTTTTTTTCATTTTTTTTTTTTTTTTTCACAAATAAACATAATAATAATAGACTAAATAAATAGAAGACACTTATCAATCACGAATGTATGTTGTAATGCTATCAAGATGGCACTCTTGAACATAATTATCATAGCTTGACAAATTCAAATCTAGCTCAAAGATGATGAACTTGAACATATTAATCAATTTCTTTGTGAATGTTATGTCAGGAAATGTAATTGTGTGTTTGCATGTTTTTAATTCAAAATCAATATATGGAGTTGTAATTTTATTTAAGGTTTAAATTGGTTATTTTGAATGTCAAGGTGTGTATTGATCTTCGAACATACCATATTTTTCTATTCCACGTTAATAGTTTATTTATTTATTTTTCCTTAAAATTTAAGACTACTCCATAATTGTAAATTAAACTCTAAAAATTCATGTATTTGTTATTCTTACTGAAAAGAAAACCCTAAAATATATTAAGAAATTAATACATGATTCCGCATGGTCATGAACTACCACAAAAAAAATAAAAAAATAAACAAAAAATTAAAAAATAAAGTTGACACTATTTGTAAACTATTTGTAAACTGTGTATGTCTATTACAAAAAGAAAAAAAACAGTAAAATACAAATATTATATCAAATCAGACTAATCTAAGAAAACTAATGTTAAGATTTTTTTATAATATATTACTAATACACTAAGTTTTTGTGAGATCATTTTTTTTAATTAGAGAATCTAAGATTAAATTGGTCTACCCGGTATTAATTATCAGGATTAAATAATAATTTATGGGGTTGTTAAACTTCCCCATCATTACTGGGTCAATACGCGCATGCATTAAGCGTGTTTAGTAGTGAGGATTTTTGGACAATACTTAGAGAATCTAGATTAAATTGGTCTATCCGGTATTAATTATCAGGATTAAATAATAATCTCTGGGGTTGTTAGTTAAACTTTCCCATCATTACTAATGGACTCGAGAAATTTTAGAAAGCAACGGATTCATGGAATATGGTTGACCAATGGGGCAATGTGGTAGGTAGGAAATTGTTTGCACATCACCTTAGTCAATATCACCAATAAACTAAGAAAGGTTTATGGAAACTCAGAACCAAATTCCTCATCTTTAAGATTTGAATAAGCATCTATCTTAATGGCTAAGAATTGAAGAGGCAATATATATATATATATATATATAATTACTTATTGCTTTCCGATCTATAGCTTTGAGTAATTTGGCACACATCTATGGCTTCTTCATCTTCTTCACTGTGTCAATCTGAATATGACGTGTTCTTGAGTTTTCGAGGCGAAGACACTTGGAAAAGTTTTGTGGGCCATCTCTACACTGCTCTGGAACAGAGAGGAATCAGGTCCTTCAAAGATGATGAAAGGCTTGAGCAAGGAAAATCCATTTCTTTGGATCTCCGGAAAAGTATCAATGAATCCAGCATTGCTGTGATCATTTTCTCCAAAAACTACGCTAATTCATCACGGTGCTTGGATGAATTGGTGGAGATCCTTGTGTGCATGAGGACCAAGGGACTAATAGTTTTGCCCATCTTTTATGATGTCAAAGCATCGCAAATTCGAAAGCAGAAGGGAAGTTTCGCGAAAGCATTTGAACAGCATGAAAAAAATTCTCGAGGAGGAGATGGAAAGGGTGCAGAGGTGGAGGGCTGATCTAAAAGAAGCTGCAAATCTAAGTGGGCTCGATTTAGAAGATGCAGCAAATGGGTATATATATATATATATATATATGTTCTGCTTCTATGAGTTACTACTTTCTACTAGCTTTGTTCATCAATGTATATAATATTTTATAGGGTTAAATGCAAAAAAATATTTTGTTTGGTGGAATTTTCAGTTTCTGAAATTCCTTCCACTGAATTAATCTTGAATAATGCATTTTGATGAAAGTAATGTAAAACGAAAAAGTTGTTTGGTGGGTAAATTTTTTGAAACTCTTTTAACTATTAACAAAATTTAAGTTGACAATTATATTCTTAATATTAGTATAGAGTTGAATTGAAATGTACAAAGAACTTTAGAAAAAAACAAAAAAAAAAAAAAAAATGTACAAAAAAGGGAAGAAAAAAAATCATAATTAAAGTGATGGAGTGAAATTGCTAATGATGAAGCAACGATTAATTGGTATAGTGAAGATCTGGATATACAAATTTAACCCAATTTAAATGGTAGAATTTTTTTTTTTTTTTCCTTCACTACATGATAGAGTTGAAAGAGATGGAAAAAGGAAAAGAAAGAAAAATAAAACAAAGAGAGAGATGGCAACAAAAATATTCTTATTTATACCTACAAATCACTTTAACAGCGAAACGGGTAGCCTTCAAAATAGAAAAAAAAAAATTTATATATACATATATATATTATGTGTATATATATAAATATATATATTTTTTGGAGAGAGAAAGAAAAATTATTTAAAATTCTACATATGATTCAATTTTGGATGAGAGTTCATAAGTCTTGAAACTTTTCAGACTATGAAGTCAAATAAGAGTCAATAGTATTTTTTCCTATAATTCCTCAATCTTTTTGTTTTTCCTTTGTTGAATCATTTTTCAACAATATTTTTTTCAATAAAGTTTTGTGAAATTTTGTTCAGCATTATTTTATTTTTTATTTTTTGGGTAGAGAATGAAGGAAGAAGATGATACAAAAATAGAAAGATAAAAGTTTACAATGAAATTCAGAAATTGAAATAGGTTAAAATGTTAAATAATGGATGATATAGGAATTTTATATTTATTACTTAAAAAAGTGTGTAGCTTGTGGGAAGTTAATTAGGAATCATGTTTTATTGGCTTGGTCAACCGGGGTTCTAAGCCACTAAGACTTTTTTAAAGTCCATTTTCAGAAATTTTACCAAACGCTCTTTATTATTGGGAAAGGACTTTCTGGGTTTGGAAGCCCGTTTTGAAACGCCCATAATATTTTATAGAGTTAAAGTGCAAAAAACTTTCTTGCTATATAAAAAAATGTGCAATAAACACTCTTATTAACAAAAAAAAGAAAAAAAGGGCGTATAATTCCTTTTATTATTCATCTTTTGAGCAATTTGTTCCCTATTAAATGGATTTGTTGAAAAAGAGCAGTTGGGTGAAGTCATTAAAAAAAAAAAAAAAAAAAAAAAAAAAATCAAAAGTGCCCTTTTTGTGTAATAAGAATGCCCCTACTAATTTTATATATATTTGAACACTAAATGAGTTTGTTTGCAAGTGCTTCAAGACTTGTGCAAGGAAAAACTCTATGTTTGTTGCCATAGTCTATCTCTCTAAAAAATCTATTCTCTCTCTAAAATATCTCGCCATCACTGATATTATCTCTCTAAAATATCTTTTTGTGGCGGCCTATATTATCTCTCTCTTTTTTTTTTTTTTTTTTTTTCACTAAAATCACTGCCAATAATATCTATTCTAAATGATAGATGTATATTTTCTTGTAAATGAATGATTCTCCCTTAATTATATATAATAATAATAATAATTAAATTAATGAATTTGCTTTGACACAAATTGTTATCAGATGAACTTATGATTTCTATCAAAATTAAAATTTTGATCTAGTTACTCTTGGACCAGACACAAACTTAAGCAACACATTTTTTAAAAATTATTTATTTTATTTTATTTTATTAATGTCTATTTTTGTCATATCTTGTTCTTTATAATAAACAAGCACAAGGCTTTAACATCATGCGAGCCAAACTTTTTGAATTTACCATTAACTTTTTTCTTTTCCTATTTGGTTTACCATTATTATTATTATTATTATTATTATTTTTTTTTCCCTAGTTGGTTTACCATGAACTTTTCAAGTACAATTTCTCAAAAATCATTAATAAGTGGGATAAAATGCAGTTTAAAAATATATATTATTGATGAGTGAGATTGACGTGTAGTTAGTGAGGTACGTCTATAAATTTTTTATTTTTAGTTTGGTGTGTGTATATATATTCTTGAATGTATTAGAAGGATAATGGTTCAATTTGGTAAAAGGTAACTAGACACTCACATTCCAATTTTGTTTTAAATATTGTGACACTAATTTATAATCCTTTTACTGTTATGTTATGACTTTAAGGGTAGTTTTGATATTTTGTCCCCCCCCCCCATTTGTTAATGATAAAGTAAGGTTAATTTAGTAATTTTACCATCAAAATTATGATTTGTCCTTATTAATTTGCGCAAATTGAAAACAATAAGGGGTTTTTTCAAACAATAGAGGGGTAGTTGCACATTTTACATATTATGAGGGTATTTTTTACACTTAACCCTATTTTATACTCGTATTTATTAACATCCTAATCCAATACAGTCCCATATATTCTATCTTAATTAGACTGCCCCATTATTGGGTGGTAAACTCCATATTTAAGTAAAATTCTGTAACAATGTGTTTGGAACCTTGGGATTTGATAGGAATTGAAATTTTAACAGAATATCAGTTGTTTGGAATGATAGAATTTGAAAAGGGAAAGGGATTTGATGGGATTTTAAAGGAAAATTGGCATGGAGAAATCGATGGAAAAATGAAAGGATTTGATGGGATTTGGAATGTAGTTACAATTTTATCCTTTTATTAACTATTTTCTTGTCTCTAATTCTAAAAATCTCGTTCATAACTGGCACGTTGCTATATCCCAAATTGGTACAAAGATGATTTTATTTCAAATTCCTTTATACAAATTCCAATTTCTTCCTAACACTAATTTACTCACTTTTATTTATACTTGTTAGTATCAAATTGATGTCAGCATTTTCAACTGTAGCGATGGGTTGTTAGAAGTATTTTTTCAACTCTAATTTTTTTTTTTTGCCTATACCAAGTTATAATGAGTAAATACCCTTTATATATATATATATATATATATATATATATATATATATATTTCTTTCTCCCTCTAGATTTTGATTTTAATGTGCTTTCTACTTGATAGGTATGAGGATAAGTTTATCAAATGCATTGTTCAAATGATTTTATAAAAATTGCAGCCGAAATCATTCAGAGTTGCTGACCATGAAGTGGGTATTAATACACGTGTGGATAAAATAATGTCTTTGCTTGCAGAGGATCAACTCTTTGTTGGGATTTGTGGAATTGAAGGAGTAGGAAAGACAACTGTGGCCAAAGCAATTTTCAACAGAATATCAAAAACTTTTGAAAGAAGTTGTTTTCTTGAAAACGTGAGAGAAGAGTCAACAAATTATGGTGGTCTAGCTAAACTACAAAGCAATTTCTCAGAGAGATCCTAATGGATAAAAATATAACCATATCATATCCTGATAGGGGTATCAATGAGATAAAGGAGAGACTTCATAATAAAAGGCTTCTTTTGGTGCTCGATGATGTAGATAAAGAAAATATATTGAAGTACTTAGTTGGAGAAGCCGGAGAGGAATGGTTTGGAAATGGTAGTAGGATCATCATAACAACTAAAGAGAGGCGGTTGTTGAAAAAAATACAATGTTGGAATATATGATATTGAGGTACTAAATGGCAGTGAAGCAGTAGAACTTTTTAGTTGGCATGCATTCAAGCAAAATAAGACTAAAGAAGAATATGAGAAACTTTCACACCATGCAAAAGATTATGCCAAAGGCCTTCCACTTGCTCTTAAAGTTTTGGGTTCCTATTTAAGTAATAGAAGCAAGCAAGATTGTTTAACTATATTGAATGGGTTGCAGACCAAGCCTCCCAAAGAAATTCATGAAGTTTTAAGAATTAGTTATGAAAGCCTTGATAAGGAAGAGAAGAATATTTTTCTTGATATCGCGTGTTTCTTCAAAGGATACAATAAGAAATATGTCTTGGACGTTTCTAAAAGGCCTGAATCTGACAAGGCTTTTGGAATAGAAATTCTTAGAGAGCGGTGCCTCATTAATATATCAAAAAACAACCACCTGTCAATGCATGATTTGATACAAGAAATGGGCCGAGAAATTGTTTGTCAAGAATCTGATGATCTTAGGAGGCGCAACAGGCTGTGGTCTTATGAAGACATCTATGAAGTATTTACTGAAAATACGGTACGTGCTAAAGCCATATATGTTAGTTTCTTAATTTCCACGTGCAAGATATGCCAAAAAAAAAAAAGTTTCTTGTATTGTATTCCATGTAGTCTTCTTTGAAGTTATATAATTTTAATTATGTTTTTATTTCTGGGTTGATAGGGGACAGAAAATATTGAAGGCATTGTGTTACTTGAGAAAGGATTATCTTTAGAAGATGTTGACTTCTTTGAGGGAAGGTTGCATGTAAGCATAAATGCCTTGGCAAAGATGAGGAAGCTAAGAATACTCAAAATTAGTGGCGTGGAACTTCATGAATGCCATAAGTATCTTTCACATGAGTTAAGGTATCTTGACTGGAGTGACTATCCCGCAAAACATTTGCCATACAATTTTCATCCATAAAATCTCGTTCAACTCCATTTACGTAATGGCCCGATTAAAGAGATTTGGTCCAATACAAAAGTAAGATAAATATTTTACTCACGCTATTTTCCTTTTGGTAATTTTTTTTTAAACAGTTTTTTGAAAGTAATAATTTTCTCTGGTCCATTGAAGTTAACTTATTTTACTATTTATTTTTTAAGAGTTTCCAAAGATGTTAAAAGTTCTTGATCTCAGTTACTGCAAAAATTTGGGAAAAAATCCTAATTTTTCAAGGTTCCCATTTATGGAGAAATTGCTTCTTAGAGGTTGTGAAAGCTTGGTTGAGGTTGGATTCGATGACAAGAAGGTAATTTTATTATTTTTACTGCAATACGCTTCTCTTTGCAAAATACTTTGTCAAGTTGGTTGAAGATAATTTATATCATAAGTTATTTGTTTCAAAAGCTTTTGGATTAGTTAAAAGTCATTGATATCTTATATATATATATATATATATATATATATATTAAATTTTTTTGTTGGAGTTCCCATGTTGGCAGGCCAATCAAGCTGACCTCTTGGATTCCAACTCTTAAAGTAAGAATAGGGGAATTCATGGGTAGTTAAGTAGTGAACAACGCCTCTAAGATATTAAAAAATTGTTATCGTAGGCTTACATTACATGTGTTACTACCTGTTATAGCGATTATGTTTATATAAGTCTTGATTTATGTTAACCTATTATTTTTTGGATTTTATTTTAGGATGAGCTCAATTCGTGAAGCTGGCCAATGAAAAATGTTTTTGTACAATCCAGAATGGTTCAGTTTGGTTCTTTAATTTTACCTTTTATACCAAATCAAACTGAAGTGTACATCCTTATAATTTAGCATGCAAAAACAAAAAATGAATTTCTTACTGACCACCTATGTTTCGATCAAATCGGTAATAGATAAGGAGGCGAAATTTTGTTGGCCATTTGATTAGAATGAAATAGTATGAAATAGAAGGAAAGTAATTTAGTCATATTCAGTTAACTTCATTTCTTGAGAAAATTTTATGAGGTTACAACATTGTACTTTGTTTTCTTTCAAGTTTCATGTATTTTAAACTATGAAATGGTAATTTTTTTTTTTTTTTATTTTCTTTAAAAAAAATTATATACTAATAAAATGCACATTGGAAAATTTATATTCTTTTCATTTACTCACTTCCTCTTACTTTTTACTTTCACCTCTTACATTTCATTTAACTATACCACAGTGAATGCGAATTTAAATAAACTAATTGAACAAATGGTATTGATCTAGTGATTGTATAATTTCAGTAACTTTCTCTTTCCTGAGTCTTTTTTATTTTTCTTAAGTCTATTTTTTATTTTCTGATGTGAGATAGAAAATGAAAAATGAAAACTAAAGGAAACGGGAAATTACATGTAGTTATCTTGTGTTTTCTATCTCTATTTTCTAACGAGATGAGAAGATTAGAAGTTAATGGTGAGGTTATTACTTTAAATACATTTCCCCTCCTGTTGGATAATTATATTTGAGTTGATTGTAGTTGATTTCTTTTATTTTTTAATTGTTTGATTTAACAGTTTCAAGATAAGTTAAAATTTGTCGATCTCAGCTACTGTACAAATTTGAACAAAACTCCTAATTAGCCAAGGTTGCCATGTCTGGAGAAATTGGTTTTTGAAGGTTGTACAAGTCTGGTTGAGGTTGATCTGTCTATTGAATTTCATGAGAGGCTTATTTGGTTGAGTTTCAAAAAATGTAAAAATCTGAAGAATCTCGCAACAAGAGTTAATTTAAAATCTCTTAACTCTTTATCTGATTGGGTGCTCAAAACTTGAGAAGTGTCCAGAGTTCCATAGAGAGATGATATGTTTAGAGCATGTTTGGTTTAATGGGACTGCAATAAAAGAATTACCTCCATCAGTTGGACATCTCGAAGGGCTTGACGAGTTACATCTGTGGAATAGCAAAATGCTTGGCAGTTTGGACAATATTGGTGAAATGAAGAGTTTAAGAATGCTTGTGTTGAGTCATAGTGTAATAAAAAAGTTACCGTCATCCATTGCACAGTTGAGTATTGTAGAATTACATTGGTGTAACTGCAATTTAGATGAAGAATCCTTTGTCAATCTTCCTCACTCGTTGTGGAAATTAGATCTAAGCGGGAATGACTTTTTAGCTTACGGTCAACCTTCGCTCAACTTACAGACCTTTATCAACTTGTTTTGGACGATTGTGTAAGGCTCCAAACATTGGAGTCACTTCCATCATCCATACGATGTCTTTCTTTGTGTGGTTGCTCAAGCCTCCATGAAGAAATTGTAAAGAAATATAGAGAAAGAATGAGAAAAAGCAATGAATAGAAAAATGAATTTTATTCACTCTTTTTCATTGTCGAGCAAGGTGTATGGACATGTCAATTTATACAATAAAGAGGTCCGTAATATACAAAAAATCTCCTAGAAAAAAACTTTATTTAATTTTATAAATAGGCAATCCTTTAGATATGGCATAACAAATTGCCAAGTTTGTTTCCAACGGCTTTGCATATATCATGGGATTTTTTGACCATTTGGAGTAGTAATCTTCTTGCTCCTTTTCCATATTGTCATTAGTACTAGGATCTTTATTTTTGACAAGTGAATTTTTCATTGACTTTATCAGGCCCCCTCAAGCTGGGAAGTGGAAGAGGATGAACTACCAGCTTGATTCGAAAAGTTTTGAAAGATGACTTTGGAAGAGCCTTAGTTAAGGCATCCGCAATTTGCAGTGGTGAAGGAATATATTTGGTGACAAGATCTCCACGCGTAACTTTTTCTCGAACAAAATGGTAATCTATTTCAATATATTTGGTCCGAGCATGGAAAACAGGATTTTTTGTCATGTGAAGGGCACTGATATTATCGCAGAAGAGCCGAGGTAGTTGAACTAGAGGAATCCCCAGGTCGCTTAATAGATACCCGATCCATGTTAATTCAGCAGTAGTGATAGCAAGTGCACGATATTCGGCTTCGGCACTTGAACGGGGAACGGTTGGTTGTTTCTTTGAAGACCATGACACATAATTAGAGCCAAGAAAAATACAGTAGCCGGTGGTGCTTCGACGAGTGAGAGGACAACCTGCCCAATCTGCATCACAAAAACTATTTAAAGTGAGAGAGCTTTGAGATAAAAAGCAAATGCCATAAGTTTAGTGCCTTTGAGATATCGAAGGATTCGTTTGACAACTCTAAGATTGGCAAGGGTCGGTTGATGAAAATGTTGGCAAACTTTATTCACTGCATGAGTGATATCAGGGCGAGTAAAAGTGAGATATTGAAGTGCGCCAACAATGCTTTGAAATTCAGTTTCGTTGACCAAGTTATGATCATCTGGTTGGTGGGGTGGTGCATATGAGTACGGGAGAGAAGATATTTGGTGTATTTTGTTTGTGAGAGGAATAGGCCACCACCAAAAGGCTTGACTTCAATACCCAAAAAATAATGTAAGGTGCCAAGATCTTTGAGAAAAAATTCACATCCAAGTTTATGAATGATTTGCTGAATAAGAGTATCATTGCTTCCTGTTACAATAACATCATCAACATAGATAAGCAATAACAAAAGGTTATTGTTTTTCTTGTAAATAAACAAAGAGGAATCTACTTTGCTACAAGAAAAACCAAGTGTAAAAAGACAATCAGATAAACGCTCAAACTAGGCACGAGGTGCTTGTTTTAAACCGTAAAGGGATTTATTCAATAAGCAAACATGATTGGGAAAAGTTGGATTGACAAAACCTGGTGGTTGTTCCATGTACACAGTTTCTTTGAGGAAACCATGTAAGAAAGCATTTTTTACGTCAAGCTGTTTGATGGTCCAACGTGAGACAACTGCTAGAGAAATGATGATGCGAATGGTTGTGGGTTTAACTACAGGGCTAAAAGTTTCGTCATAGTCTAGCCCGGGAACTTGAGTGAAACCCCTTGCAACAAGTCGTGCCTTGTATCGATCGATCGAGCCATCTTCCTTGTATTTAATGCAGTAGACCCATTTAGAACCAATGATATTGGTGTTGGAAGGTCGAGGAACAAGACGCCAAGTGTTGTTGGAATAAGGGGCTAAAAGCTCTTCTTGCATCGCAGCAAACCAATATGGTGATTTAATAGCAGTTTTAAGAGACTTCGATTCTTGAGCAAGATTAGTAAGGAGAGCAACATCTTTATGACTGGACGAGCTAGTGGTGGGGCATATATAATCCTTCAAATGAGCTGGTAGTTGGCGCACACGAGTTGGACGAGAAGTTGGAAGATGAGTTACATTTTGATCTGTAATAGAGGGAGCTATAGATGAGTCTCGTATTCCATGAGAAACATTGTTGTCGTCATCTTGAGAGACTTCAAGGTGTGAGCTATGAAGGTCATTTTGTCCTAAATTGTGACTAACTAGATCAATTGAGGTGTTGTCATCTAGCTCATTGCAGCAACTAACTTGGGTACCGCATGAGTTGTTAGCTTGCGTGTTTTCGTTAGCCAAGTTTTGATGAGAATGATGATTGCTTGACTTAGAAAACCACTCTTCTTGATCTGGAAAAGTTATCACTGCAAGCTGTGGAATATCACCACTTGAAACTTTGTGAGAATACGGAAATATTTGTTCATCAAAAACCACATGTCTAGATATATAAACTTTATTTGTTAAAGGATCAATGCATTTTTATCCTTTGTGAAGAGGACTATATCCAATAAAGACACATGGAAAGGTTCTTTTAGAAAATTTATTTTGATTTTGGTGCCTTAAATAAGGAAAACATTTACAGCCAAGGACCTTTAAAATACTATAATCGGGATGTCTGTTGAATAATTTAAAATATGGTGCCTCCATATTTAGAGAAGATGATGGGAGACGGTTTATTAAATATGTTGTTGTAAGAAAGGCATCTACCCAAAACCTTAGTGGTAGATTTGCATGAAAAATCATGGTGAGACCAGTTTCCACAATATGTCTATGCTTTCTTTCCACAATTCCATTTTGTTTAGGTGTGCCTGGACATGACAATTGTTGAGCTATACCACAAAGAGCAAGATGGTTAGTTAAGATGTAAAGATTTTTCTATCTTTTCTTTTTACAGAATCTTATCACATTTTCAATAATCAAAAATCAATCCCCCTTTCATTCTCTTCACTGCCCTTTTATAGGCAACTACCAGTGCTGTTGGTCTATCTCTTTTGGGCCTTCTTTCCAATGGGCTCAGTCCTCTTCAGTGGATCCAAGATCGGCCCATTCCGTGGTGCTTTTGTATGGGCTATACTTCAATTGTTTGCCCTGATCCAATACCAGCGAACTACAACCGACCCATATCACTTAGTGTATCCTCAACTACCCACATAATTACTCCCTATTAATTAGGGGGTAATTATTAGAGACTGCTAATCATGACCCGACGGCTCGAAAAGATCGCATGGGAGAATGGACGGTTAGATTTGGGGGTCGGCGCTTTGAGATTCAAAAAACTCCTCGCTTTCCTGACTCCTCGGCCCTCGGGCCCACCTTGTCTTTATAAGCTTCATAGATGTTCCATCGATTCTCTTTACCGTCTCTATCTCACTTTTTTGTTGCTCGAATCTTCTCCGGCCATTTCTTACAAAAGCTCTTTTTTCCAGCGACCTTGCAATACCCTTTGACGTTGTCACTTTTTGAGGTTAGTTTCATTTGCCTTTTTCTTTTGGAAGACCTCTTTTTCTTCCTTAAAATCTTCATTCATTCTCGCCATGACTGTAGATCTAGATGTTCTTCGCATGAGACTTCACTTTCCTGACGATATACAAATTAGAAATTACCCTAAAGAGGTGAATATTAGAACTAGTGCTGGCCTTCTTTCCAACGAGGTTCTGTTTTCATACCTTCATCTTAACCTCCTTAGGTTCCCTTTGCATCCCTTCTTTTGCTACGCTTTTAATAAACTGAAACTTTCCCCTTTGCAAATAAACCCAAATTTCCTTAGGATTTTATCTGTTATGTTGCTTTTGATCCGTGACAGAGGTCTAGATCTGGACCTCGTAGATCTTCTCCTCTGTTACAAGGTTAGCAAAATCAGAACTGATGAACCGTTTTACCACTTCTACCCCATTGAGAAGAGGTCCATCTACAAAGATAAGATCAAATCCGAGAAGGGTTGGAGGAAAAATATAATTGGGGTTAGGGGAGCCTGGTTTTCTCCAGCTGCAGAGGAATTCCCTATCCCGAGCGCTTTTGGAGAGTGCTCTATCTCTTCTTATAAGAAATACAAAACCCATAAGAGTGACTGTCCTTGCGAGATTTGCATTCCTCGTTTTTGTACTTTCTTGTGCCATTCCTTAGACATTCCTTGTGATGATTTGAGCTACGGTGTGTGCAGGGATAGGGATAACTACCTGAAGCAGTACGTTCTGACCGACATTCCCTCTTGCTTGGACCTCCTCACTTCAGACAACCTCCTTGCTCTCTCAGCCCTCGGCAAGACAATGAGTCAACTCAAAGTCCCTTCCTTTGGCAGGAGGAAAACTACCCGTAGGCCCATTGTTACCCCTGTAGTAACTTCTTCTCCAGCTTCAGTATCTTCCTCCGCCACCATTTTTGATACCACTCCTTCCACCGATCCGACCGTGACAGCTATTGACCCGATCTCCAACACAATGACCACTAGTCCGAACGTGACCCCCTCTGTTAGCAACCTTCCCAGTTCTACTACTGCTTCTGCACGGGAAAAGACAAGAGGAAAAAGGCATCAGCCTGATAGTGCCCTCAGCCTCGATGACGTTCCTTTGTCACAGAGGGTTAGGCCTTCTGGGTCGAATGTGTCTGTGCATCCTCTAACTAGGCCCTCTACCCCTTCTGGGCATGCCTCTGCCTCAGGAACGGCACCATGGAACCCTCGCTTCATTCTAACAGACAGATAGTCCGTAAAGCCGAATGAGACCATGTTCAAGGATGGTCAGACCGCTATGGCATATTACAGGAGCATGTGGACTCCTAAGGACATTGAGGTAGCCAAGGGTCTGTCTCAGAGAGAAGTGTTCAGCCGGTTTCCCCTATCTGCCATGGAGGTAACTTCTCCCTCTTAGTCAATGAATCTCTATACAGTCTTTACACTTGATTTCTTCTAACCATTTGCTCGGCTTAACCAGTTGTCATGTATATCTCTACAGACCCTGTACGAGATGATGGCTATGCAAAAGTAGGTTGAACTGGTGAATGCCAAGGTTCGCACGCTCTCTGACAGCC